TTTCTTGATCCTCCTCTGGAGCAGGATACAAATCTCCCAATTGGTGGATCAGATCCTGCAATTGGTGGATCATGATCAGATGGGAACGCAAAAGGTGGATCTGATCTGGCAATTTGACCTGTCAACATCTATCTGTGCATGAGTGGCGTGAAATTTTTGCGGTCTGATCAACAAAGAAATATGTTTTTTGGCATGTAGCACATGTGAAATTTTTAACGTGCACAACATGCACAATAAACAACTGCTGAACTACGGGCTAGCAAAATGTGTCACCAGCCATGTACAATGCATGCATGCTGCGATGTGCCTTGCCCTTCAACAATTTTCGTTGCGCATTCATCCGTTTCTTAACCCTCTTCATTTGTGTAATTTCACTTGCTTTCCATCAAAGACTAATTCCGTGTTAGCGTAAAGCCCGAGGCATGTGACAGAGTGTCAAAAACGGAAGCAAAGTTTGAAGAGATAACGTACTAGGCTGAACATTCGGTCCGATTCAAGGTCCTCACGTCAGTAGAACTCCGCACCCAAAACACCGCAGGGTCACAGGCATGCCGCCCCAGCACGCCACACTACCACAGAGAGCGCACTCAGCAAGCTAGCACATGCGCAACACCGAACTCAGTGACCTTTCGGGCTCGACATTTCCGTCCGAAAAGGTGGATCAAGCGCTAGTGGGAACGCGACTTGCAGTTTCATTGTGGTAAGATAACGATCACATCAAAATGCTGGATCAAGATCCACCTTTTCCCAATTCAAGTGGGAACGCGCTGTTAAGGGTTACCAAGCTCAAGAGGTGATCATCCGATTACTCCATCACTGACTGCTGCATACCTCACAGCCAATAGAAATGTAGCGATTCACAGTAAAGCAATCATCACACGGCTCGTAATACCAAATCGGTGCAAGTGTGTAGCTCAATAGTGGATAAGGTCGACATCATGCGGCTTGTTAAATACTTGAATAAGTACAACACAGTAATTGTGCATGACTCTCAGTCATCAAACCTTGCCCACATTTCCACAAATCTTGAGCTCTCTTTTCAAATGAAAGAGTTACGTTCATGTACATGTACTCTGTAGATGATGTTGACATCAATTTTCAGTGGCACATGTAAGTGTGTACTTACGGTCCATGTGGCTTAAATCCCCCACGACCTCTTCTGCCTTGTTCCTTGCTCCTGCAAAAGAAGTAGGGAGAAAAATGTATCGAGTATGAGTGAAAGCGTTTGGTGTCAAGCGCAAGGGGAGGAATTCTCTTGGCAAATGATGCTGTTGCACTCTTGGTACGGTCTCAACTATAGCCAACTATGGTCAGCGAATTTCTATGGGAAATGTTTCCAACCTTCTTCAGGTTTTAGCAGCTCACACCTGACAGAATTCATTTAAAATTAAATGCCATTCAAATATTTGGGGGAAAGTTTAGAGACAAACGGGGGATGGCTGACAACAAGATTCAATCCCCGCATCCAAAAATGGTCGAGCCGATGTTGTTAGTGGCCGAGATGATTGGTGGGTGGGCCTATGGCCCATCGACCTCATGCATGCACAATGTGATGCACACCAAGTGTAAGGTGCGATCGATGTCATGTAGTGAATGAAAGATTGGTGAATAAAACCTCTGACTTTTTTCATGAAATAGTCAGTCTCATGGTCTAAAAATCCCTATTTGCTAATTTTCAAGAGCCATAGAATTCAAACACAGGTAGCATTACAACCTTATGTACAGTAACACTGCTAGAAGGCACCAGGAGGCAGTCCGTCTCTTTAGCATCAGAGTCATTCCATGAAGTTGGGGCACAATTTGTGACGGTGTCCATTGTTACATGGGTTCCATAAAAATGATCAGCTATTTCCCTGCATGTGGATTTCAAATTATACATCTTGCAAGGCTGAATACAAAGGTGTGTGTTACTTTTACAGAGTAGATGACCTACTCTACAGGTCATGACAGGTGGTAAAAGTTACCCATGTAACAAGGACACTGTCACAAATTGTACCCCAACCTCATGGAATGACCTATTAACAGGCGCCAACACACAAGTAGCGTCAACAAAGTATCAACAACTTGAAAATATCCTCTAAAGATTTAGAAGTGGCTTTATGATATTTTAGAGACTCTAACATCTGTCACTGTGTAAGAGAGACAGCAAATTTGCTTCCAGATTCTCACAGGAAAACTTTTTCGTGATGTATGGGGGCTGCCATCTTTCTTTTCTCTGCCGTCCACAAGAAAACAAGATGGTGGCCTGTCGGGCTGGAAGAGCAGGCCCAACTTTTGTCACTCAAAGTTCTGCACTGAAATATCATTTCAGATAAATATGATGGGGCCTACATGAAATATGATACGTAGAGGCACACATCACAACTTGGACACTGTCCCTAAATTCAGCGAAGTCCCTTTATTTGGAGACAAAACCTGTCCCCCAAAAGAGAAAAGTCACCTTAAAAGGGGACTTTTTCTTCTAAGTGCAGGGCTCAAATTTCAACTTTTTGGGGGCACTGCCATTTTGGCCTCAAGAAATGGGACATGTTGAGGGGCACCGCGGCCAGTAACGGGCAATAAGGCCAAAATTTCTATAAAGGAAAGGCACTGAGGCCAAGGTGTAAAATATTCTGAAAAACGAGTTATGAAACTGGGAAAACGAAAAATGGTGTTTTATGTGCTTGAGCTATCCTATTTAAATATTTTATAACCCATGACAAAACATTGTATTACAGGAAGGAAAGGCACATTTTCTGCCAAACAATTTCTTAATTTGGAAATTTAATTCATAAAAAAAGAATTCCAGTCAATTAAACCATAGATTAAACTAAGAACATATTTGGTTTCTATTTTGACACATCTTTTTCGACTGAACAGCGCGAGCTTACCAACCAAATCCCCCAAGCCGTAAAGTTGACCTACCCATCACGTCATGGAATAATGACTTACGCACGTGTAGTTGAGTCTGCAGCGTGCAGAAACAATCCGAAACAAGGGGGGGGACAAAAGACCTAACTGTGGCTGTGGAGGACCGTTTCGGACACAGCCTAAGCTCATGTATGCATATGTATCGAAGCCAGGTTGCTGCACATTATGCCAGGCTAGGCTGGCTGGCCCCACCCAGAGTCCCCACATATGTGCCCGCAGTGAATAATCATCTAATGAACACAGGACGGCAGAACGAAATACATGTACATTTATGTATTGTCAATTGAAGCCAATCGTATCACAGGCAAGCTTCATGTGGTATGTCGCTGCGGCGTGCTGGGTCTGCCAGCTCAGCTGTCCTGGCCATGCATCCATTTGCCCATGTGGCGTGAAGACAATCGTGTACTGGTACACCACAACATGTGAATATGAAGTCGGAAACTCAAAGGAAATATTGGGTATTTTTTCGGGGCACCACTGCCAGGAAGAATGGGACACACAGCCAGCTTTGGCAGTGGACAAACTAGCAATTTTCAGGGTACCGTGGCCAATTTTAAGGGCACCGACCGCCATGGTCACGGTAAAATTTGAGTCCTGCAAGTGGGCTTGGTTCAAAATCAATGTTCATTGTCAAGTTTCCGCTCATATTTTCTGTTCATCAATGTTATTTAAGTAGGTTTTTCTGAACTTTGTAACAATGTTACTTTGAAACAATGCCAATGTGGCACTGCATTAACACGGTCGGTATGCAGATTGGTTTCGAGTCAACTCGGACCCAAACCAACTCGGACCCATGCCAACTCGGACCCATGCCAACTCGGCCCCACGACCAACTCGGACCCATGTCAAGTCGGCCCCAATACTAACCCGGACCCACGACCAACTCGGACCCACAACCAAC